AACTCTGAATCCCTCAACCCTCTTTTCAAACTCAAATCTCAAGTCCCCTTAGACACATGGAGTGAGGAGATGGTTTTGAATTTATTTAGGGAAAGATCCCAAGTCAAAGATCCTCCCAAAATAGAATTTTATTACTTGAGAACACATCAAGTCTGATGAAAGGCTGGAAGGAAGGCAAGGCTCCAGAAATGGCTTTCCAAGGGGAGAAATGAGAAGCCCTAGGATCAACGACAACATTCCATCCGTTAAAGACAAAAAGCAATAAGTCATTCAGTATAGCCACTTAAGCTGTTTTCAAACAGCTCCTAAGAATCAGTCAGTTTAGAAGAGTTAATCTAAGATGCTCAAATGCTAAAGGTGGATATGTGAAATGGGCATACAACTTATTTCTTGAGATCAAGGATATGGATATGGACATCAATATCCTATATAACATGCTGACACCATTTTTTTATGTTTAAGCACTTTAAGTTGAATGTCCTTTTTAAATACTTTAACATTAAATATTGTTAAATTCATTGAAATTTAACATCACACAATATCAACCATGGTAGGGACTTATAAGCTGAGGGTGATGAATGTGACGTTGTTTTTTATTATTCTTCAATTTTTTATATATAATGATTAAAATGTAGCATTTATATATTTTATAGGTGTGCATATATTCTAGTAACTATCCATGCAATATCTGATATTATAACGGATAAGTATCAACCCATGTTGCACGGACACTGATACAGGAGTTTGAATTTGACATGTATTGAAGAGTCTGACTTGGGAAGCTAAGAAAACATGGACTTGTAGACACGTCTATGGAAAATTATATACTATTAAAATAGCCCGTATTTTTTGAATCCTAACCTTATATACCTGTGAAAATTACCTTTGTTGTTACTAAGTAATGTTTGATGTGAAAAATGGCATTCATCTTGTACATTAGCTGTTCATGCATGTCAAATAACCTAGAAGATAGAAAGGAAATGTTATTTAAAAGTATCCTCAAGAATCATGGAGTGTTGGAATCTAACGCATGTCGAACGTGGACATGCCATCCATTTGGAAGAGTGGATGCAACACTGAAAGGAGATAGCATTTTGAGTATCATAGGATTTAAGGTAATGCGATAGCATTTATGTCATTCCATATTGAAAATGGCAGTCGAATCTCCACTTTCAAATAGAAAAAGTTTCTCTGCTCCCCTTCTTCTCTTTCTGGTTTGAACTAGAATTTGGGCTTCACTAGGAATCTTAGAGAGTTTGAGGTTCCCATCATGTCTGCTTTGCTTACCTTGCTGAATTCTGTAGTCCTAGGGTAAGATGGCTTGGATAGTAGGGTGTAGATCCTTAATCTAGCTAGACTTTTCACCTGTAAGTCTTTGTTTACCTCTCTTATTGCCTCCTCACCTTCCCCTTCTCCTTCTTTCCTTGTTAAGGAAATTTGGTGTGTTCCCATTCCTCCTGGAGTTGGTGCTTTCTGCTGGGATGTGTTTTATGATTATATTAACACTTGTGGTTTACTTCGAAGGAAGATGCCAAACTGGTACTTGTCCCCCAACTGGTGCTGCTTATGCAAATTAAATTGTGAGATTGTATTTCATCTCTTAATCTCCTGTCCCTTTGTTGGATTTATTTGGGATTGGTTTGCTTCGCTTTTTGGTTGCAAGTGGCTACCTCCTGATAGGTTGGGGGGGTTGTTTAGCCCTTCTGTTTGCAGTTGTACAAAAAGGAGGGGCAGGTTGATGTGGAGATGTACTAGGGCAGCAGTGGTTTGGACAGTCTGGGAAGAAAGAAACTCAAGAGCTTTCCAGGATAAGGAGGGGAGTAAGGAAGCCTTAATAGAGGTCATAACTCTAAGAGTGGCACAACAGGTCAAGACCTTAAATATTTTCTCTGTTTTTAAGTCGATGATTTTTTCAGGTCTTGGGGGGCTATTGCTGACTCTTCTAGAAGACAGCTGGTAAACAATGGAATGGTCACCTCCATCTAGTGGCTGGATGAAGCTGAACTTTGATGGGAGTTGCGTGGGCAATCTAGGCCCATCTGGAATTGGAGGGGTAATTAGGGATGAGGAAGGAAACATATGTGCCTTTTTCTCAGATCCAATTGAGCAATTTGATGTTGCCACTGCAGAATTCTTGGTAGCAGTTTTTGGGGTTGAGAAAGCCAAAGAATTGGGTTTCGAAAGGTTAGTTATTGAAGGTGATTCCCAAATAGTCGTGGATGGCAAAAGAAGGGGGAAGGAGTGTCTTGGCATCTAAGGAATGATCTCAGATGGCTCAAATGGCTCTCTAAGGACATGTTCATTCAAGTAAATTGGTTAAAAGGTCTACCAACAGCTTGGTGAATGGTCTAGCTAAGCAAGGGGTTCAGAGACAATCTATGTTGTGGGCTCAGTTTTAATATTGTGGGGAATTTAGACTCTGTCGAGTCTATTTGTTTCTTTCACAATTTCTTGTTGTTCTGTTTTCTCATAATTTTAATAAAATTCTTCCCGAGTTACTGACCAAAAAAATAGAAAAAATTTTTCAACATGCTATCATCAAAAAATTGAAAGGAGACTAAGGTTGTGTTTGATAACTCAAAGTTTGATGTCTGAAAAGTCAAAAAGCTATTATTTCGGGTCTGACATCTGAAAAGAGGAAGAAATGATTTTCTGCCTTTCAGAGGCTTTGAAAAGATAAGATTGTTTCGAGAAAAACTCTTGCGTTACTTCTTTCTTCTTTCTCTATACCTCGGTTGTAATACTGCACTTTCATCCATTATTATGCCCAGGATAGAACTTTCTTGATTACATTTAAATGGGATAAATTCTCACATGCAAAGCTATAAGATCAAATAATAATGGGATGGCCAAAACTATAATTACAACTATAAATAATTTTATTTCAGCAAGTGCAGAAAGAGTAGTGAATTCCTTAAGGATGGAAAATCAATAAAAACAGAGCAAGAAGATGTTGTTAATTCACCTTTTGTTCTATGGTTTTTCTTTTCTGAAAATATATTGTTGTGCATCTTTTTTTTTTTTTTTTGATAAATGAGTGAAATTTTATTAAACCAGCAAATAAGAGTTACATGCAACCCTTGGAAAGGCACGGGATTATTGTTGTGCATCTTTTTATTATTGTGCATCTTATCCTACATAGATAAGTTTAAAATAATAAGATGTATTGTTTTTGTCAACATTTTTCTGGTGAGTGCATCTGGAGTTTGGAAAAGGAGATGGTTTCCTACAGAGTTGGTTTCCAAGTGGCGGTATGAGGGGCACATCACTAAATTTGCATGTATTTCTGCTCTACACTTGAATGTAGGAGTTCTGAGGATTCTATGAAAGCAGTCATTTCTTTACATGGGAAGCCTTGTAAGATGAGCTAAAACTCATTGTACAGTATTAACAATACTCAAGGGGACATTGGGTGGAATCACAGTGAACGGTTATTCTATGCAAACTTGTCAAATTCTAGCTAATTAAAGTTCCATGACATTATTGACAGTTGTGAATCTTGTTGGTGCTTATTGCTGCAGCATCTTTCTTTCCAAAGCCATTGTTGCTAGAATGCCAAGTGTTTCAAGTGATCTAAATGATTTGGTTTTGTAATCCTGTTCATGCTTTACTATACTTGATGAACTATGCTTCTTGTGGGTTTTTGACATTTTGCATATGCCTGAGTTCTTTGGTGTATACACAACTAGGCCGTATATCAAATATTTGGGGTTAGCTTATGAAATATCTGCACCACCATACCACTTTGTCGAGGGTTATATCCTCTTTTGAATCACAAATCCTGAAGTGTAGTTTCATACATGTGTAAATAACACTAATTCATATAACAATATAATAAGATGCGCTGTTTTTGTTAACATCTTTCTGGTGAGTGCATTGGTTTCAAAGTGGCAGTATGAAGGGCATATCACTAAATTTGCATGTATTTCTGCTCTGCACTTGAACGTAGGAGTTTTGAGGATTCTTTGAAAGCATTCATTCCTTTATATGGGAAGCCTTGTAAGATGAGCTAGAACTCATGGTACGGACTACGGAATTAGAAATACTTCGATGGTACATAGAGTAGAACCGCACTGAACTTATCAAAATCCAGTTAATTAAAGTTCCTTGACATTGTTGTTAGTTGAGAGCTTCTTACTGCTTATTGTTGCAGCATCTTTCTTTCCAAAGCCATTATTGTTAGAATGCCAAGTTTTTCAGGGATCTAATTTAACAGCTCAAGCCTTAAGGTTGAACAGTTCCTGGACCAGGTATCAGAGCTTGTTTGATCAAGTAGTCTAGTGTTCAGTTCTCATCACCCCCATTATAATTAATTAGTTTTCAGCACAAGGTATGGGTGGGCCAGTGCTTGTCCATGCTTCAAGCCTGATGAACTTTTGCGTGAGGGGGCACATTAGAGAATAAAAACCTATTCAGGGATCTAATCTAACAGCTTAAGATTTTAGGTTGAATGGTTCCTTGAGAATCTAGATCATTTGGTTTTGTAATACTGTTCATACTTTACTATACTTGATGAACCATGCTTTTTATGGGTTTTTGACAGTTTGCATGTGCCTCAGTTCTTTAGAGTATACACAACTAGGCCTTATCCTTGTACCAAATATTTGGGGTTAGCTTATGAAATACCTACCTGTGCCACCATATGACTTTGTCAAGGGTTATATCCTCTTCTGAATCACAAGTCCTGAAGTGTAATTTTATGTGTAAATAACACTTATTCATATCTCTGTGTGTATACCTACCTTACCTGCCTATAGAAGTTTGATCAGCTATATTGGAAGCTTCTAATAATAGATTTGAAAGGTCTCAATTTCATGATCAGGTTAAGGATGATATAACAACCATTGTTTTTTACCTGCTGATCAGGATCATTCATCATCAATTGACAAAAAATAGATTTTCTTTCACAGCTATCATTTTGTATGTCATCATAATAATAGACAAGGCATGTACTCTGCATAAAAATATATTTATCAGTAAATATGTGGTTATTGGTTCAGCAAATAGTGCAAGGTTAAGGCTCATAAGGTTGTCAGAGGCAGCAGAGAAGCTTCGGCAACAGGCAGCAATTGATGTTCAACTTGGGAAAGAAAATGAAGCAAGGGAACTTCTTTTTCAAAAAAGGAAGGTTATGCAAGCATTGGAGAAGTCAAAGAGCCGCATTGAGTTACTTGATCAGCTCTCAGCAAAGCTTAATGAGGTGCAGTAATCTTTTTTTTTTTTTATTTGGAATTTTGCATCTTATTGTTTCGTTCCAACAAAGGAACTTGTTGGAGTGAACAATATCTGAAAATCTTAATTATATATAGTAAATTCAAATGGATATGTCATTATCAATTTCCTCAAAGTTCATTAATATTATATGAGTTCTGTATTGTTCTCTGACCTAATCATGGTCATTGGTGCTTCAAAATAAATAAATAAATAAAGAACAAACCTAGTCTTACATAGAAAGACCAAAAATGAAATGAAGGTAAGAACTAAGAACTTTGTGTTGTTTTCTTGTAAGATGTTATTACTTCTTGGACTGAAGGGAGATTTTTACTTCCCAATATTTGCACCCTGATGGATTCATACATAGGATTCAACACCAAAAGGAAAGCAAAAACTCATTGTTGGGAGATGAAAAACTTATAAGCCTTGGTATCTGTAGAGAAGATGGGCCAAATGGCCCATAGGCTGTTTATCCTTTTTTATTTCTATGTTCTTTGTTGTAATGGGCCTTAAACTAGGGGTCTCTCTGTAAATTATTAAAGTTTTACTTAATGAAATGGAATTAAGGGTGTAAGAGAGAATGTTATGTTCGAAAATCTCTCTCTCTGAACCCTAGTTGTTGCCACCTTCTTCTTCTTCTCTCTTCTTGAAACCTGATTTCTGTTACTTTTGATTTTCTGCAATTTTTTAAGCAGTCATTTCATTTCAAAAGGTTGTTTTTCTTCTTGGTATCAGAGCAGACTCGACTTTTATAGAGAACTGAATCGTATGAATAGGTAAAGAAACCTATTTCAGCTTAGTTGTTAATGGTTTCTGGAGAGAAGGGGCTGGTTTTGTCGTCCTCCTGACAGATTCAAGTGTGTTGCCCAAAACCCTAATTTTCTGGAGAAATCTGATTGTGGGCCCCACAGGGAGTTTGACATGGGTGCTCAGTGACTGAAAGTCTTCTCATCCTTCATCTTGAAAATCGAATCAAGTAGATTGGTGTTCTGTGAAGTCTACAAGGAGCGGCTGAGATTTCTTTGTTTCTCCCGTTTTCTAGGTGTGACGCAGGTAGCTGGTACAACTGCATAGAGGTTGGCTCACAATACGGTTTTTGTTCTATCTTCATTTGTTGTTATTCGAAGTTGTTAGAAGTTATTTTCGAAGTATTTAAGAAGATGAACCCTTCAGAAGTTGAAAACAAGCAAGTTGCTGAATCCGGACAAGTTTCAGGAGCCTCTGTAGACTCTCTACTGGTTGTGACCATGGTCAAGATAGATGGAACTAATTATCTAGCTTGGTCACAATCAATAAAAATTCATATCTGCAGTAGAGGCAAATGGGGTTTTATCTCTGGGAGCAAAAAGGCTCCTTCGGAAGATGATCCATCATATGAAAAATGGGTGCAAGAAAATTATACTATTATTGGATGGCTTGTGAATTCAATGCAACCGCAAATTAGTCAGCACTATTTGTGGATGAATTCAGCAAAGGAAATTTGGGATAGTGTTGCTGAAACCTATTCCCAAAAATATATTGAAGTCTTTATGGCAGGAAATTGATTTGATAGAAGCTGTATCCTGGGACACCACTAATGATGCTGAGACTTACAGGAAACTTGTTGAGAGATGTTTTTGACAGGGTTGAATCCAGAGTATAACATCATCACAAAGCAAAATATTTATCCAAGGATAGTATTTCACTGTCTCAAGCTTATGCCTTGGTAAGTAGTGAAGAAAGCAGGAGACTTGTCCAGGTTCAAGGGGCTGGTCTAGATGATCACTTTGCTAATATGGGAGTGAAACCCAAGTGAGTTGCGGGGACTCCAAGTAGCTCAAGGAAGAAAGAAATTATTTGTAAGTACTATAAGAATCCAAAACACACTAAAGACAAGTATTGGAAATTGCATCCTGAGCTTCTTCCTCTTCATTTTCAAAAGAAGTCTGATAATATGAAGGCAGGGAGTGCCAATATTGTTGCTGGTCCAGATAGTGACAGATACCAAACTAAAGAGATGGACTGCTAGTGAGCAGTTAGTAGCTATGAAGGAAAAATATGAGAAGTTTGGAAGGATGATCAGTCACCAAGAGGGTGTGGCCTCTTCTTCCAACCCTCCAGGAAATTCAACCTCTTCTGCATTTGCTCATTCAGGTATACGGGCTTCTTCCAATCATACAACTATCTTAAGTAATCGTAGGATCCCTTGGATTATTGATTCTAGTGCTTTTGATCATATGGCCAGCCTTTTCCACTTTGTTTGTTTCTTATGATTTACTTCCTGACCGTGACAAAATCACCCTAGCCGATGGCTTTCTTGCCCCTATCTCCGGCAAGAGAACCATCAAGGCTACAAATTCCTTGGTACTTCCTTCTGCTCTTCATGTACTCAAGCTAAAAACAAATTTATTATTTGTAAGTAGCCTAACTAAGTCATTGAACTGTTGTGTAACATTCTTTCCTTCCTACTGTGTTTTTAAGGATCTGGAGTCTCAGAAAGTGATTGAGAGTGGCCATGAGGTGAATGGAATATATCTGCTGGACACTCCTGGACAGAGCCATGAACAACTTGGAAAAGTTGCTTTTGGGTCTACATATACAGAGTCCATCAGTTGAGTCATGTTATGTCATTTTCGTTTGGGTCATCTTTCTTTTTCTACATTAAGTCATTTTATTCCCAGAACTGTTTAAGGGAATTAGTATGTCTATTCTTCATTGTGAGTCGTGTGAATTGTCAAAACATTGTAGAAGCAATTATCCTTTGAGTAATAAAAAATCTTCTTCTCCATTTCATATTGTGTACTCTGATGTGTGGGGGCCTTACCACTTACCTTCTATGGGTGGTTACAAATATTTTATCTTGTTCATTGATGACTTTTCTCGGTTCACTTGGATATTTTTTGATGAAGTCCCATGATGATGTTCCCAGACTTGTGAGGCAATTCCATAAATTTGTCCTAACCCAGTTTGATACCAGAATTAAAATTTTCAGATCCGACAATGCAAAAGAATAGTTTGAGAAAAAACTGACCTGCTATCTCATTGATTTGGGGGTTATTCACCAAAGCTCATGTGTTAGGACCCCAGAATAGAATGCAGCTGCTGAAAGAAAAAATCGGCATATTGTTGAAGTTGCAAAAAGTATTCTATTTGCCTCACATGTTCCTACAAAATTTTGGGGTGATGCTGTTCTCATTGCAACCTACCTAATCAACCGTATGCCATTCAGGGTTTTGGGGTTTAAGTCTCCCTTCAGTCTTCTTCATCTGGGCAAGGATCTTTTTCCTATTCCTCTTCGTGTCTTTAGTTGCAATTGTTATGTACATATCATAAGTGTCCAGAGACATAAATTTGAACCAAAATCCCACAAATGTATCTTCTTTAGTTATTCCCTCACACAAAAGGGTTACTGTTGTTTTGATTCGAAGACTGGCACTCGGTATGTCTCAATGGATGTCACCTTTGATGAGCTCTCTTCCTTTTATGATTCTTCTCAGGAGAGGCATTGTCCAAAGGGGGAGAATTTGTCACACTTGTTTGCTCTTCCCCTTCCTATCCCAATTGAGTCTTCTATTGAGACTCATTCCAGTGTTTTTATCCCTCCTCCTTTACCTCCTCGTCCTCCTTTTAATCCCAGGTTGTACCAACGGTAAAGAACCAAAAGTGAGTAGATTGTTTCCCCTTCAGCACATGAGCCTCCTGCACTTCCAGTCACAGAAGAGACAACAGGTATTGATACAGCCCCTTTGGAGTCATCCTTTCTAGACCTTGATATCCCTATTGTTATTAGTAAAGGAAAAATGAAGTGTACTGCACATTGCATTTCCAAACGCCTTTCTTATAGTTTGCTCTCTCCTTCATATTTTGCCTACCTTTCTTCTGTTGCTTCTAACCCAATTCCCAGGTYTGTGTCAGAAGCTCTTACTATTCCAGAATGGAGGGATGCTATGAGAACAGAAATTGATGCCCTACACAAGAATGACACTTGGGAAGTAGTTGATTTGCTTGGAGGGAAGGATCCAGTAGGCTGTAAGTGGGTTTTTACTATCAAATATCTTGCTGATGGCACCATTGAAAGGTACAAGGCTAGGCTGGTTGCAAAAGGTTATACACAGACATATGGGATTGATTATATAGAGACCTTTGCTCCTGTTGCMAAGATGACTTCTGTGAGAGTTCTGCTATCTCTGGCTGCACACTCAGACTGGCCACTTTATCAGTTGGATGTAAAGAATGCATTTCTGAATGGAGAGTTACATGAGGAGGTCTATATGTCTCTTCCTCCAGGGATGTATGAAACAGATATGAAAGGGAAGGTCTGCAGGCTAAAGAAATCTCTTTATGGACTCAAACAGTCCCCTAGAGCATGGTTTGAAAGGTTTAGGGTTGCTCTTGTTAGCTTTAGTTATGTACAGACATAGTCTGATCATACCCTCTTTGTGAAGAGGAGAGGATCCTTGGCCATTTACCTAATTGTGTATGTTGATGATATTGTTGTGACTGGTAATGATGTATCAAGGATTAATGATCTCAAATATTTCCTTCATACAGAGTTTGAGATCAAAGATCTGGAGAAATTGAGATACTTTCTTGGCATAGAAATTGCTAGATCCAAGGATGGGATCCTTATCTCTCAGAGAAAGATGGGTGTTGTGGAGACTCTATAACTTGATGTTCCTTATTAGTATAGTCCCTGTTGTATATTACTTTTACATCTTATTCTTCTCTCTTTCAGCCCTGTATGGGCATTCTTGTAATTGTACATATCTTTTAATATATAAGAGACTCTTTGAGGTGGGGGTCATTCATTCTTGACACCTCTAAGATTATTCTTGTTCCTTTCTCTATTCGGCCAAGAGTGTTGACATGGTATTAGAGCATGTTGTTCTCTGATCTATTTTCTCGCTCTCTTGAACCTTGCTAGAAGCAGTAAACCTGTCGTATTAGGGCTATCTTGATCAACCCTTTTCTATTCTTTCTTCTTTGCACAACCAGCAAGAGAGATTT